AAGACCTATAGTAAACGTTTGACCTCTGTTATTGCCAACAAAGGTTATGTTACAAAGTATTGAGTTGTATTTTTGTTATTGACCAAATATTTATTTTCCACCCTGATTTACGAATAAATTCTTTACAAATCCTACCATGTGGATTCATGGATTTTTTTTTTCTCCACATTCTGTCTCTCACAGTTGAAGTGTACCTCTGGTGCAAATTACTGACCTCTGTCATCCTTTTAAGTGGGGGAACTTGCACAGTCGGTGGCTGACTAAATACTTTTTTGCCCCACTGTACATGCGGCAGAAGATACAGGAAGTGACCTCGTACTTTCAATGGAGAGGTTCTCAATAGTGCGTCGCTCTCCACGGCTGCAGTGTGGCGGCAGACAGAAGCCACGAATGCTGCGTCCTGTGCGAACCCGAGAGCTGAGCACATAGTTTGGATCCAGATCATCTCCACCCTGAAACACAAAGGAGACACAAGAACAGGAGGGTCAGAGTCCATCACTGCCCACCCTTCAGAGGTCACCACCACCCTCAGCTGACACACCAAAACCAAATCATTGAGCCTTGCAGCCAATAAAGAGTTTAAGAGTCACTTGTTGTTGGGTAGGACTTCATGTCTGGGCTAAACACATCACATGCAAGAATTCAGTACCCTAGTGAATAATCAGTTCTGTGGAAAATAGCATCACCAATGCTCAAAGATCTCAGACTCCTGTGTGCTGATGGCCCAGGTTGGTAGTTTTACCTGTGATGAGCTCAGGGAGCAGCTGCCTCATCTGCATGCTGAAACAGACTGATTCCAGACCTGATGTTAAACCTTTCAGCAACTCACAGGTTTGAATTTAGGTTATTACTGCCTGACAGTTTAATGCCAATAAAGCTGCAGCTGAAAGAATAAAACTGTCTCCAGAGCTCTGTCCTGCTGATGGGCAGTGATGCTGAGGCTGTGATTTTCAGTCTGAATTGGATTTTAAATTCCTCAGAATTATGCAGCCCTACACCTGTCCATGTTAGTGATTATGAATCTGCTGCGAACTCCGACAATTTCATGTGGACACAAAGTTTTGACAATGCTGTGATTGGTTTTTGGCGTGAATCCTTTCGTGTTTGGTTTGTCTGTTTGAAATAGCTCCAGGACAGCTCTGAGATTAGAGCATTACATCTGAATGAGCATGTCTTCTGTAACAGGTGTGTTCACCTGTCCTTGACATTAAGTGTATGTACCGTAATGATTGTATTTAAAATCGGTTTGTCCTGAATGTTTTTTCCGCTTGAGGCTCTGGTCATGAATTCCATAAATAATGAGATGTGTTTGAACTGGCTTCAGGTGAGTTTATCGTTTACCTGGAGGTTGTCAGGGTTCAGGTCCGTCTTGTGTTTGTCTGTTGGTTTGTATCCTCCATGGCGGTCTTCGATCACTGGATCCATCAGGTCTTTAAACACTTCATACGTCTCCTCGTCTCCAGCCACACAGCCCACAGTCATGATAAACGGATGACCTGTAAGGGGAAAGGATGGACAGTCACTTCCCCTTGTCACAGCCAACATCTATGGGCCTTAAAATGACTTTTTTTGACTTCAGAGAGAAAACCTAAACATGACGGAGTGTGCCAATGGGTTTGTTTGGTCTGTTTCACAATTTCCTTGTAGGATAGTGTGTTATGGTCTTTAACGCACTAAGAGGAGCTAAATGAACTAAGGAGGATTAGAAGAGGAGGATCAGGTGGTTGGACTGAAGGTCAATACTATGTCCTGCCCTTGGGTGGGAATTATAGACCAAAAATTACCTTGATCTAATGAGTCTATCCAATTAAAGAGTTTATTATTAACAGAATCTCTCAATGTGAAGGTGACAAACACGCAAAGTTACATGTCTGGTGAAGGCTTAACTGGCTTATGTAAGAGCCAGACCAGCATCGGATAGAGGCTTGGTTCCTATTCTGAAGGTTATTGGACTAGGCTGAAGTTGTCTTACTTTGAGGAAGAGTTACTTGGACAAGGAGGTGGATCAAGGGTCTTAAGGATGTTTTGGAGAAATGGAACATGGTACAAGTGTCCAAGGGTGGATTTGTTTAGTTGTTTATTTGGTCAGGTTTTTAGGGAGGTGTTAACATATATGCCAAATCAGTCGCCTTGGCACAATTAGCTGGTCTGGAGGAGATTTGTCTTATTTTGAGAGGAATTACCAGCACCTTGGTAAGGGGCTGTTTAAGGAGGAGGATGGTGCTTTGGGAATGGGGTACCTGGTTATTCTGAAGGTTGAATTGTGTTGGAAGAGAGGTACACAGTTTTTAGGGAGCCATTTATGTGTGACCGTTTGATGAAGGAGTGTCTACCTGGCACTGATGATAAAGTTATCTGGTTTAGGACTTGTTACCTTTGTTTGAGTTCAAGAATAGAGTTTGAGCTCTTAATGCTGACTGTGGGAGGGGTTACCTGGGTTGTCAACGCCAGTCTGGATGACATCGTCCAGGGTGAATCCGCTGGGCGTCTCCTTGTCCCTCAGGTTGGCGTACATTTCGGACGTGAGCACCTTGGCCATGTGGTTGTTGTGCTGGCTGAGGTCGGGGTACTCCTGCTCCGCCGTGTACTTCAGCTTCAACTTGTTGTGGGTGTTTCCAAAAGGCATGATGACGTCCGGGCTGCTCGCCTGCCGCAAAGCCATCGGTTACAGTCAAAGTGTTCAATAACACAGCATTACAGCATCAAACAGTTTATGTATTTGCACGTTAATCTATCTCAGACACAGAAACCGATCGCTTACAGCACTTTCCTAAACAAGTTATTGCTAAATTTGTACTGACAATAAAACTTTTACACTAAAGTTCAGTCAGTAAAAGGAGGCTGGTCACAAAGATGAAGAAACTCAGGCATGCATTTGATAACTTCTGGAAGATTTCTGGATGTGATTTGAATTTTGAATATTCATGTACATGTTGCTGCTAGTAAAACATTGACTCAATGAAATACACTTGATTGTTTTTGATAGGAAAGGCCAATAAAGAGGCCCATTTTCTCCACAAACCTGGTCTGAGGGTGCTGGGTCAGACTCTTCCCACTGAGGCCACTTTTTGTGGGTTTTATGGTCATGTGATCACATTTATATTGATTCTTATGAAAACATCACAATTAAAATGGAAATGTGATGAACAAAAACATGCCTTTAATGCCTTTAAATGTGACACAGTTTACTGATCAATTAAAATGATTGCTCAAACTGCCTGAGCTCTGGTCAGTCGCTGATGAAGCAAAGTCAAATGGTGAAAAACTCAGATGCTGACTCTGCAAAAATCTTTGCGACATCAGATTTTTTCTCTGCAAACTTTTAGAAACGCCTCAAACCCTCCAATCAGGTTATAAATTATCAACAACCTGATTGGATTAAGGAGCTTCTGATCTTTACTGTAACTCTCACAATGGCAGTAAAAGTACTCTGTTACTTTCTATTGGCTGTATTTATGCAGAGTGCAGACAGGATCCTGGCTCGGTATGGTTCGCTCCAGATCATTAAGGCCGCGGTCACCTTCAGCTCCTCACTGCGCGCACAGAATCGACTAAATCGGACCGGTTCTGACTGGCTAGAACTCTGCAGGGCTGAATGACGTCATCAGCTCCAAAAAGCCGTGAAAATGAGGCGGAGCATGCGCGCACTGTTTGAAGGTTAGACTGCTTAATGTGCACAGGCAGAGCTGCAGTCTCCGGCTGCACCGGTTCAGGAGGAATTGTATGATATTTGGAGGCTGTTGTTGAAGCTGCGCGCGCACAGTAGCAGTCCTGCAGATGAATCAGCTGACCGTAAATACCACCACGGTAAAGAAGCTTTGTGCGCGCGGGCGATGCTGACTGCGCAACACCTGCACGCAGGACGGAGCGCAAGGTCGTTAGCGCGCGCTCACACACACAAAGACACACACACACAGTCTGCAGCAGCCTCCCCGTGCGTGTGTTTGTTTCTTTGTTCTTTGACCCTCCATCTCCCTCTGACCGCGCGCCCCTTCCGACTCGTTCCTCCTGCCCTGATGCACGGCTGTATGAATATGCTCTGCTGTAATTAGTCGGCTCGGATGCTCATACCTGTGGTTCGGTGTGCGGGATGCGGCTCTGGAGCGGGTCCGTGCTGCTGCTGCGGATTAAAGCGGCTCGCAGCCTTTTATACTCGCCCCCAGATCCTCATTGGCTCCTATTTACAGTCCATTCATTCCATTGGGCACAGACCCGCCGAGGGTCACGTGGTTGTCTCTC